CATTAAGCAATGAAGAACTGTATGGAACAGAACTAACTACATCAGTGGTCGAGATATGTACATCCATTGTTGATGATGTCCTGATCAGTGAGAGTCTAGTGTCAGAAGAACTGAGTGGGATAATTAAAGATTCAAATTTTAAAGCAGAAAGTGAATCCCACCATGAACCAGCTACCTCTGATGTACAAGAACACTCTGCTGAGAAGCTTAATAATGAATACAGACATGAAGAATTCCAGCCAGAGACCAACAAATCACAAGAAGAAGATAGCAGGTTTGAGGTTGGTCAAACGGAAGTTGAAGTTTTAACTGAAGAGCAGTTTGCGATCACAGATGAAGCTAGCCCAGCAGAGGGATCTAGCCAAGACCAGTTGCAAGAAGGCAGGTTGCCTGCACAACCAATTTCCAGAGACAGTGATGAAACGGAGCTAAGTGCATTAGTAATTGAGGTTAGTTCATCCATTGCTGAGAACGTTCTGATAAGAGAAGGTCTAGGATCTGGAGACTACACAGAGGTCTTTCCAGAAGAAGGTTTACAAAGAGTGACCAAATCCCACATGGATACATCCACCTGTGAAGTGGAGGAACTGCAAGAATACACAGCTGAGGAGAAAAATGCTGACGTCATATATGATGTTTCATTGACAGAGACCAGCAAGCCACAAGGAGATGACAGTGAAGTCAATACTGGTTACTTAGAAGCAGAAAATATAACTGGAGAACAGCTTGTAGCTGAAGAGCATTTTGAGGTTCCCAATGAAGCCTCTCCAGTAGTGGAGTCCAGCATTGACCAGCTACAAGAAGACAGTTTGCTGCAGGCAGTTTCCAAAGAAAGTGATGCATTAAGCAATGAAGAACTGTATGGAACAGAACTAACTACATCAGTGGTCGAGATATGTACATCCATTGTTGATGATGTCCTGATCAGTGAGAGTCTAGTGTCAGAAGAACTGAGTGGGATCATTAAAGATACACATTTTAAAGCAGAAAGTGAATCCCACAATGAAACAACTACCTCTGATGTACAAGAACACTCTGCTGAGAAGCTAAATAATGAATACAGACATGAAGAATTCCAGCCAGAGACCAACAAATCACAAGAAGAAGATAGCAGGTTTGAGGCTGATCAGACAGAAGTTGAAATTTTAACCGAAGAGCAGTTTGTGGTCACAGATAAAGCTAGCCCAGCAGAGGGATCTAGCCAAGACCAGTTGCAAGATGATAGATTACAGAATGAACACACAGATGAGGAACAAGTTGAAGGATATAAGGATTCTTTGACAGAGACCAGCAAATCACAAGGAGATGACAGTGTACTCAATACGGGTAACATAGAAGTAGAAAATGTAACTAAAGAACAGTTTGTAGATGAAGAGAAATTTGAAGTTTATAATGACCCTTCCCGCAAGAAGAGAGCCAGCACCAGTGACCAGCTGCAAGAAGTTTTCTTACTTGGACAACTGGATATCATAGATATTGATAACATAAGCTCGGAAACATTGCATGAAACAGTGAAAAGCACATCAGTGACTGAGATATGCACATCCATTGTTGAGGATGTCCTGATAAGAGATAATCTATTATCTGAAGAACACAAAGAGGTCTTTGGAGAGGAAAGCTCAAAAACAGAGAGCGAATGCAACAGTAAAACATCTACCTGCGAAGTAGAGGAACTGCAAGAGCACATAGAAGTAGAAATTGTACCCAAAGAAAAGCTTGTGGTCAAACATGAATTGTCTCTAACAGATGAAGGTGGAGATCACACAGACGAAAAGCATGGTTCTTCAGATGACACAAATGATACATATATTAGAGACAGTGAGGAATACAAACCTCAAGTTCATTTAAAACCACTTCAAGAAAGTTATGAACAAGAGGAATATTACCATCAGGCCACCGATGCAGTGGCTCAGTATGCTATTACAGGCCATGTACTAGAATCTACCATGGACCAGGACATAACCAGTCAAAGTCATAAGGAATTAAGCCTATTATCAGAAATCACCTCTCTTATTTCCTCAAGTCTATTAGACCAAAGCATCAGTGTGTCGTCAGAGGAACCAGATGCCAGGTTAGACATTCAGACTGTTCAAAATGTAATGGCATCTATAGCGAAAGAAAGTGGCAGTGAAATGGAGAGTGAATTGTCTGCTTCACATATTACAACATCGAATTTGGATAATATTGTGGAAGTGACAGAAATAGCAGATTCTGAGGTTGAAAAAGTCTCTAAATCTCATGAAGAACTTGACCTCTTGTCAGAAACTCATTGCATGCTTAGCCCAGATCACACAGTACAAGGGATTCCTGAAATAATGGATGACTCGGATTCAAATGGAAAGGTAACCGTCCCTCCTGAAGACCAATCAAGTGCTTACACTGAAGAGCAAGCTCCGGAAAAGACCAAGGATCTCGATGGTCTCTCTGAATCACATTTAGAAGGTCACCTTGATGTCAAAGATAACTGGAAATCCTCTTCAGACTCAAATTTTGAAACAGGCAAAGATTTCATGTTAGAAATTCAGTCTGTGGTCACTGAAGATCACACAGTTAGGAATGCAAACTTTGCATCTTCTGTCAAACTAGAGGAATCAGATGTGAGGGATGAAAAAGAGGTAGATGAAAGAACAGAAGAGACAGAGTCCCATCTCACTTCGGGTCACTCTGTGAATAAGACTGAGGAATATTTCATTTTACAGACAACTATGGTGAACAAACAGGTAGACAATGAACAGAAGGTCACATCTACAGAAAAACCCGAAATCACTCATGAACCCGGCCAAGTTCAGGGTCAAGTCAACCAACAAGATACTCCATCCCGAACTGTGGTCATTAACAGAGGTGTATTAGAAGAAGTTGTGAATTTGGGTGTCATCAGCACTTCAGCAGAGAGTGAAATTTCATTTACAAGTGAGCTCCATGGACCCGAGATGGATGTCAAGTCTCTAACAGAAGCCGGTCAAATCGAACAAGAGGCGGACATTATAAGTGAAGTGCAACCGTCCACTAATGAAGAAACCACCACAATCTACTTGCATGAAGTCGAGCATCCGAAAGCAGAACATGAGGAAAAAGAGGAAGATCTACCAATAATACAAACAACATCTCATGAGGAGATCACCAGGGGTCAAGAGCAAACTGTAGTGGATGGAATTGGAATGTCAACCCAACGAGTTGTGCAAGAAGAGGATGACTTTTTCAGCAAAGTGGTGAGCTTTATGATCATAGATCTAAGACTAGTAGAAGCATCTGTGTGATGAATATACTAATCTCAATGGTATATAGTAGGGAATTGATGGCTTCTGTACAGTGCCATACTTTTGTGAAGGCTTTACAGGAAGCCTCCCCTAGCAGAGGAATCCTATCTATCTGTCTGTCTGTCTGTCTGTCTATCTATCTATCTGTGTTTCCCCGAAAATAAGACCTACCCCGAAACCAAGACCTACTAGTATTTTTGGGAATTTCAAAAATATAAGACCTACCCCGAAAATAAGACCTAGTTGTGACCATTCGCAGGGCTGGTGGTGGCATAAGCGGGAACTTGAAGAGCCGCAGGAGAGGTGGGAGAGAATCAGTGCCAATGAAGCCAGCGCTAGAGTAAGCCAGGCGGCAGCGGAGGGAGCAGAGCCGCATAAGCCGATGCCTCCTCTATAGCGCCGGCCCCTGTCACAGGCGGAGTGATACCAAATGCACTCCGCCTGTGAGGAATCGATAGTGAAAGCTCGCTTTACTCATGCTGGCCAGCAATTGGTTACCAAATTGCTCTTGGAAAGGTACGGCACCTCACCCTATTCTTAACTTTGCCATTTTTGATTATTTAATTTGGATTTGCATTAACTTTGGAATGTTATACATTAAAAAAAAATAAGACCTACCCCGAAAATAAGACCTAGTGTGTTTTTTTGAGCCAAAAAAATATAAGACAGTGTCTTATTTTAGGGCAAACACGGTATCTATCTATCTATCCTATCTATCTATCTATCTATCTATCTATCTATCTATCTATCTATCTATCTATCTATCTATCTATCTATCTATCTATCTATCTATCTATCTATCATCTACATCCTTTGAAGAGGCTGAAATGTTGTATTCCTGAAAGATTCTTTGTGGTATGAATGTACAACACAGTGCACAGGGTTCAGTGGTCTAAGGAAATGTAATGTATAGCACAGAGTAGAAATAGTAGCAGTGGGGGGTATGTAGTGTATAGCACAGTGCACCTATTGCATTCTTCTGCTTTACCCTGTCCCTCAGTTATATTAATACAGCCGCTGATTTCTTTATTAAGCCCCCACAAGCTATGATGATAGATCTTAATAGGCTTCAAGAACATGGCGGCTGGGGGGCACAGTGCAAATTTTCCAACCAGATGGCGTCGGCCCCATTCAGCACATTCAGAATGTAATGTTAAGACAACCTACAACATGACATGCAGTAAATGTTCTTTTTTGATTATAAATATGATGTGGTCCACTTGTTCTTCATGAAGTCATTTGTTTCCTTAGCCCTTTCACAGCACCTTGGATGTCAGCGCGCAGAAAAGCCGCATTCTGCTCCTCAGAAAGACCTCTGTTCGTAGACGCCCGGGGCAGCGTCCAGTGACGTTTCAGGAAGATCTGCCTGATCCATCACCACCAGCTAACCTACCGCTAAATATGGGGGTGCCAGTTTTTCCTCAGAAAATGTCCACACTTTCACCAGCTGTGCCACCAGATCCTGAGTCATCATACCCCGCCGAGGAAACTACAGAGGCGAGTATTGTCTCAGAGCCGGTATTACGTAGAAAGTCCTCTGTTCGCCGACGCCAGCGTCCAGGGACATTGCAGGAGGATCTGACCGAGCCATCACTGCCAGGGATCACATCTGGTGAGTCATCACAGCCTACAGAAGAACCCAAGGATGACAGCTCCATGTCAGAGCAGATTTTACGTAGAAAGTCTTCAATTCGACGACCCCAAGGGCAGCGTCCGGTGCCACTTGAAGACGAACCAGTTGAGCCGTCACCGCCAGTCATAACACCACTTAAAATGGGGGTTCCACACTTCCTTGCGGGAAGCCCCATACTTTCGCCATCTGTGGCCCCAGCTCCTGAGTCATTGCACCCTGCGGAGGAACCCAAGGATGAGGGTACCACATCAGAGACCATCTTACGCAGAAAGTCCTCTATTCGTCGGCCCAAGGGGAAGCAACCAGTGACCTCTGAGGAGCAGTCGGTTGAGCCACCACCAGCAGTGATTGCACCACTAAGAATGGGAGTGCCATTATTCTCTGGGGTTCCTGCACATGTGGCCCCAGCTCCTGCATCATCGCACCCTGCAGAGGAACCCAGGGAGGAGAAGACCGCCTCAGAGGACCTCACTATCAAACCAAAAAAGGGATTCCTAAAGCATGCTGGGTAAGCATAAAAACTAAAGTCTTGGATCAATACAAAATGGTTATTTGAAGCTACCAAAGGGCAGGAAGTCTACTGTAAAAAATAAAATACATTTAGAAGGAAATGAGAGGGAACTTTGTATAGTTTAGAGACAGATTCAGTTTTTCACATTAGCTTCAGAAGTCCGTATACTATTTAACAAATCTGTCCAATCAGCTGTGTAGATCTGCAGTCAATGCAATCAATTAATATCTTTATTTAAATTACATTTACTACAGATCCACACAGTTGTCACAAGCAAGCGGTGAGAGGCTGTAAAATATAGTTTACTGGTGCTGTGTCACTGCTTTTTACTGGTTAGAGCAGGGGTAGGCAACCTCGGCTCTACAGCTGTGTTGAAACTACAAATCCCATAAGGCATTGCAAGCCACAGGCATGACTCCCAGAGGCAGAAACATGATGGGATTTGTAGATTCAGCACAGCTGGAGAGCCAAGGTTGCCTACCCCTGGGTTAGAGGAAAGAAAAAGTGCCTCATTTATGAAAAGTGTCAAAGTTGAGCCGCAGCTCACGTCACCCAGTCAGGTTTCATATTATAAGTGAATCAAACTATTTGATTGGGTCATATGTGCTACAGTCACATTTTTTCTCTGCTTTCCATGTATTAGCCTATGCTGCTGCCAATCTGCCAAGAAAGCATTTTGATTTGCTGCCAGGGCCCACATTCGGGTTGCCACCTTTTCTTCCATCGCAACCTGAACCCTCCAGTGGCACACGGAAATTTTCGGGGGGGAATGAGTCGAGGCTTATTCATATGTAGATAGCGCCACCCATTCATATGTAAATATCACAGTCGAGACTATTTTCAGTGGGGGGGGGGGGCGGTAGCCCCTATCTTAATTTTGGTTGCCCCTGTCTGCATGACATCTTGTGTCCGGGTCTCAGCTGCCATGAAACCCGGAGAGCACATTGAAAACCCGGACTGTCCAGGTCAATCCTGGACAGGTGGCAACTCTAACCCACACAGGCCCACTCTTCTCTTTTAATTTAAACTTGCTACTTGGAGTTTCCCTGGCATTCCTCTTTAGAGAGCCCATTCAGCGCCAAGTGACAGTGTCTTTGCAAAGCGGACCCTACCCATTAATACATAGCCAGGGCCCCTCAGCTGCTCCTTCCTCTGCACTTCTGGGTATGGGGGTGCATGTAACCTCCCCCCGTGTAACAGAACACGGGTCTAGCAGTCAATTGCTTAACAGAGGGAGTGACATTGCTTGCTGTAGTGGATGGCATCAGTCTTCGATGAGGGCTAAACCTGTGCAAATAATACGAGTTAAGCTTTTCTATGTTGTAAATTCAGTTAGAGAGTGTCCTCCCTCCTCCAGGAATAACCCCAGGCATGCTGGCTGGTATCCATACGGGAAGGGGCAAAGTGTGCCTACATCGCCTTCAGCATTGGGGGATACTATGAGAGGGGTTCCCCAAAAAAAGATATGGCTGTACAAGATTAATTAGTGCATTTGCTAGCAGGGCCGGCTTTACTCTCTCTGCTGCCCCAAGGCCAGGTTCCTCAATGCACCCCACTCCCCGGCACCAACCCCCC